CCCCGGCCCCGGCCCCGTCCCGAGGCTGCGCGCCCGAGGCCCGGGGCAGAGGGATGTTTACTTTCCTCTCCATCCCCCTTCGTGGGTGGGAAATCCCACTTCGTCCTCTAGGTCCCCTGCCTGGGCTCTGGCGGCACCGCCGCTGTGCTCCAGCCTGCTCCTGTCCCTGCACACTGCTCTCCCTGCCTTGCCCAGGGGGAGTAGGGAAGGGGAACCACGCTGGGAGCAGAGCGCAAGGCTCCAGTGCTGCCCCCGTGCCACCTCTTGGAGGGGCGTTCAAGACTGCCTTCTCACTGGGGTCCTCTGCCAGGCCACAGCCCCCACCTAGCAGGGGAGCCCTGGTCCCCGAGGAGGCGAGCTATGCAGTACTCAAGTTCGTGGTGGGGGGCAATTGGGATTAGGTACTCCTTGCACTTACATTGGCGTTTCATACCCTGCTTATGTCGTCTGGCAGCAAAGGGGAGGGGGAGATGCCTTTGTTCCAGGCAAGGGAGCAGATGCATGTCAGGGTACAGCCAGCTGGGGCTGCACACACACACACAGCACAAACACACGTGCACACAGGCACATGCGCGCACTCCCAGCCAGGCATGCACTGTGCAAAGCAGCCCCCTTTTCAGCTATCCCGCTCCCCACCAGAAGAGTCTTTCTGGGCACATCCCTGCTCCCAGCCCACGTCTGCTGGCATCCCCTTTGCTAGCAGCTTGTGGGAGATACATCTCTTCCTCAGTGCATCTCTGGAGAATGCATAGGTCTCCCAAGTTGGCACTGTCTACATGTACAATGGCAGGGTAAACTTACAGCTCCTGCCTGGAGAGCAGGGCTCCCTTGTCTCCACCCTGCCAAGGAAGTGGCTGCCCCTCTGCTGCTGGGGCTCCTGGGAATCCCAAAGCTGTCAAACAGTTGGGCAGGGAGATGTGGACCCAGGGAGTGCAGTAGGCTTGCAGGAAGTGTCTTGGACACACATGGTGCTGTGCACAACCATGCATGCCCATGCTTGTGGGTGTACCCACCTCCACTTTGCCATGCGTGCAGACAGTACCCACGTGTACATATGTGTACACATATGTGCACCATTCTTCATCTGCACACCATGGGAGAGGTGTAGGGCTGTGCAGGAAACACTCTGCTCTCTCCTTCTTGTTCTGGCTCCAGGATGGGACTCTGTGTGCAGTTTATGGTGGGCTCTGTGCTGAAACCCCTCAGCAGGCAGGGAAGGGGAGATCTGCGTGTCCCACAGCCAGAGGGAGCTGGTGGAGCAGGGATGGAGCCATCAGGAATCAGCCTTTATCACATGTAAAGGGCAGGGAACAGGTCCTCATTGAGGAGAACGATGAGTTGAAAGAGAGGTAGGATGTGCCTGAGCAGAGTTCAGTGCAGCCAGGTCCAAGGATTCCCTAGGGCTCCTGAAGATGACTGCCCAGTTCAGCTCCATGCACTGAGCTTGAGGCCACACTGAACCAAGCATGATGCAGACTGTGCCAGGGCTGGGAGGTGCAGCTGGGCACAGCTGACATCAGCCTTGGGGACACACTGAAATGACATGGCCTCAGCCCCTCCTGCCTTTAGGCTACAGAGTTTGGGGCATGTTCAGAGCCTGATGGGGCTGGACCAGGTCTGGGAGGGGTGCTGCACCCACCCCTGCTGAGAGCCCCTTGGGTGTCCTCTGCAGATGGGCTCTTCGTGACTGACTACTTCACCCGCACACCACGCAAGCTCAGCCCCTTCCGCTCCTTTGCCAGCATCGAGCTCTTCCACTTCCACATCCCCGAGGACACGGTCATTGCCGTCTGGAACCTCATCACCTTCAAGGAGCAGGGTGGCACCTTTGGGGACCAATGCCCAGACCGCAGCATCACCGTGTGAGTAAGCAGCCTTCCCCTGCCTGTTCTCTGCCTATTCCCTGCCTGCCCTTTCCTGCCCCCTGCCCAGACTTACCCTGGAGCCTGTCTGCTTCTTGCTTGCACATGCATGCACACCCACCCACATTTACATGCATGCACACACAAGTACAGAGGAAGCCTCATGCATGTACATGCACACCCATCTGGGCATACATATGCATGTACACAAATGCATACCTGTGCACACACACATGCATGTACACACACAGCTGTGTACATACATGCACACACATGCACATATGCACATATGTGCACACGCACATTCAAACATGCACTCCCACACATGCATGCACACTCACTCCCCCCTAGTTGGTCTTTCCAGGACCACTGCAGACTCCATCTTACGCATGAGCAGTTTTACTTGAGCGTACATCTAAATAAGCTTACAGTCTCCAGCAAGTTCCCAGATTACAGATGGCTTCGCCGTGGTATCTTTGAATTTGCTAATAGCATGCTGATAGCGTGGAGGACAGGCCAACACGTGTAAGGCAGGCTGTCCTCACCACAGTGCCCAGCCTGGGCCCTGCTAACTGCTGTCTCTCCCATAGGTATTTCCGCTCAGGGGCTCCCTCTGTCATTAACCCACTGCATACGCACTTCCCCAGGGACACAGCTGTCCCTGGCTCCTTTGCACTGACGCTCACCTGGACCCTGCCGAACCGGACGACAGGAGTGTTCAACGTCACCAGCCCGCTCCCCGGGGACTGGTTCTTGGCTGCCCACCTACCCAAAGATGAGGGCAAGATCTCTGTCAAGGTGAAGGGCTGAGGGGGAATGTGGGGTGGGGACTCGCTATGGGACTCTGCTTGGGTCGGGCTGTCCTTCTAGGCTAGTGGCACCCAGGGGCAAATGGGGCAGGTGCCCCAAGTGGGACCATGTGGAGGGCAGGAGGACTGCCACATCCCCCTGTGGGGGTCCTGGGTGTCTCCGAAGGGAGGGGCGCTGCCCCCTGCCTCCTTGCTGCGGTGTGGGGTCAGCAACTGGGAGCTTGTGGGTCTGTGTGGCGGGGGCCCCACCTGCCCCGTGCTAACTGCTCTGCTGGTGCAGGGGCTCTACGAGGAGGGCCAGTATCTCTTCCAGCCACAGCTCATCGTGCAGCGCCTGGTGAGCATTGCCGTGCTGTACCCCGGGTACGTCACTGAGCAGAGCATGGCCCCCCACAACCGCTCCTGCCTCTACAAGTGAGTGCAAGAAGGTCTCCTAAGGGGAGGGCAGCCTTGGGGGGGGGGTCCCCAGGGTGGAGAGGGAGCGATGTGTGCACCCCATCAACAGGTGAGCTTAGGATGCCCCCATTCCTCTGGATCCCCTTCTGTCAAAGCGTGCCACCCCAGGCCTGGTGGTCCGCACTGAGGGGTAGGGCCTGACACTGCTGTCCTGCAGGGTGTTCGTGC